GTGACCAGTCTGGTAATTGAATCACATTTCAACCTTGAAAATGCCACTGAGTGCTCTGAGATTAATGAAGGCATCTAGTTTATGGGCTGCAGGGCAGTTTATCTGACACTTGTAATGCCATTTTCTGGGGAACAGGAAATGACAATGGCTAGGGACTGAAGGAATTAGCAGGACACGGGCTTCCCTGGCTACCTCCATCATCTTCTGCTTGTCTAGTGGTATAGCTGCTCCTATAACCAAGAATAATTGAGAAACACACACACTAGCACACTTATCAAAATAATTACCATTACATGCAAGTGCTTCAGCAAGAGTTAACCTTTGTAAGCAAAAAGGAATGAAGAAAAAGCCGCACATTCCAAGTTGTATTTTTTTACATTCTATCTTTTGGTTCTTTTATTGCTATAGAATATTAATATATACAAATTTTCATCAAGAAAATTTTTTTGGTTTCTTCAATGTTTTATTTATTTATTCATTCATTCTTTTATTCATTTATTAAATTTATATGCTGCCCATCTTGACCTTATTAAATCTCTTGAAAGAAGAAAGTACATAACTTAGATGAATATCTTAATTAATGATACATAAACAATTTTCTCCCTGTGGCAAAATAGGAAAGAACCCTAGTTAACCTGATAAAGTATATATACACAGATTTATGAAGATCTTGGATTCTACACTGAGTGGGCTCTAAGTTACTAATAAGGTTACATAATTAATCCAAGACCTGATTTGCATTAAAAATGTATGTATATGATGTAATTAAATTTACATTTGAAAATGGAAGGCAACAAGATGTAATTGAAATCAATTTGGGGAAAAAATCAAATCACTAGTTATAATACAGTAAAATACTGAACACTTTCAGCTGATTCTGGTTTTGACAGAACTGGATGAAAATAGCAAAGATGATGGATCTTTTACAATATTTTCTTGGTAAAATATCAGTCAGATAGCTTCAGTGGTTTAATCTTAATACATTTTTGAAGTATTCTGTCCTAGGATGAAACCTAGCAGCCTCCAAATTGTCCAGCAAACTTGCAGAAAATGTGCTAACCAATATAGAAATTGTCTCATTCCAGCTTAAAAATACTAGCATGGCTTTTTGGAAATTGCATATTGAATATCTGAATAAAAAAATAAATTAATAAATTAAAAAAGTAATTTTCAGGGAGCTCATTCAATGTTTTGAACATTCTGTTCACAGATTTAATTAGAATAAGTAAGTTGATCAAATGTCCTTTGAATCAAGTTATCAATTTGTAATTACTACACCTTGCCAAGAACTTGGAAGAAGAATACTTTTTTTTTTTAAATGACCTTTTTCCTGAAAGCCCGATGGTCACAGAATTCTCCTAATTCTTGGAAGAAAATTAGCAGATGATATGCTGAGTCTTCCATAAATAATACATTTCAGAAAATCAGCAGCAATTTCAATGTTGATAGATCAAAGCAGACACATAATAGAGATTATTCCTACTTTAAGATTCTATGAAAGACAGCCTTCATTTGTATGTGCATGAAGTGCTTGTATGTTTCTGCATATTAATAAATGCATGCGTGTTCATGCACACTTGAACATTTATATTCCTTTGTGATGCCAGAATTAACATCCAGTAAACATATAGCCTTTAAGGCTGAAAAGATTCCATATGATTCAAATTTTCTAACACAGCCTATCAGCAAGAGGAGCAACATTAAAAATATATCAGTGGCTGAAACAAGCTGGAAGCATTTACTTTCAAACTAAAAAAAATGGAAGTGTGTTGAGAATTTTAAAAGGTTTAAAACAGAAATAATAATAATAATAATAATAATAATAATAATAATAATAATAATAATAATAATAATAATAATGATAAAGTTGGAAGGGACCTTGGAGGTCATCTAGTGCAACCCCCTGCTCAGGCAGGAAACCCTATAGCATTTTGGACAAAGGGATGTCCAGTTTCTTCTTAAAAACTTCCAGTGTTGGACTATTCACCGCTTCTAGAAGTTTCATCAACTAGGGAATAATGACCAAAGCATAATTTGGTGGCCATTTTAATGTAATTTGAAATTCTTTTTGTCTCTGTAGTTGTATGGCAGGACTCTATGTTTCTAAACTGTGTCTTTATGGATGAACAGGCACTTCTTACATTTGTAGTAACTTGATTCATTCATTGATGCCACATCTCAAGGTCCTAAACACTGCAATGCATCACCATGGAAGAAGTAATGATACTGCCTTCACAACATGTCTTCGGGTGATGGATAAGAGAAACAGACTGATAAAGAGTGAAAAAAGGTTTCTATTTTAAGTGCAAATGTATTAGCAATTGGAAAAATAAAAAAATAACAAAGTCATAAAAATTACCAGTTTTTATGACTTTGTTATTTTTTTTATTTTTCTAATTGCTAGTACATTTGCACTTAAAATGGTTCAAATATATATTTAGCTCTTTCTACATGAAACTCATAATCTAATTGTATCTTGTTGAATACTATAAACCAGGCATGTCAAACTGTTGGCCTGTGGGCCGGATGGGTCACGCCAAAACGGCGCCCTCCCCATTGCTGGCAATGGGGAAAAAGTCGTGATACGTTGTGTGATGTCATGGGATGTCACGAGTTTGACATGCCTGCTATAAACAAAAGACCAGATTCGGATCCATTTTTGAATAGCTATCCTTTTTTTTTTCTCTTGCAGACAGCACATCTGTACAAGTGTGATGGATGAAGTTACAATAGGAGTGCCAGGAAAAGCTGAAAAACATGATCAGTCACAAGAAAGAAGGTCAAAGACCTCTTCTATAGCAGAAATTCTCTAGCACAGCCCTACTGAAGAAGCTCACAAAACTCACAAATCCCTGCCATATGAGGTTTGTAAATCACCACTTTGTTTAAGACCTATGACTTTTCTTTTCATAAACACCATTCTTTATTCCAGAAGAACATGATTGAGAAACAAAAAATATTAGGAAAGGAGCATCTCGAGCTACCAGTTATGCAGCACAACAAAGCAGCTGCTAATGCAAGAGTATTTATTCTTAAATTGGCCAAAAACCAATAGAAGAGAATATATGTAGTTAAATTGTGTTAGATTGTGGAGTCCTTGGTGCTTTCTGAGCTTAGTGGTTTGCTAGCAGATGTTTTATTACCTGACTAGGATTCCATAAAATCTTAATGACCATATTTCAAATAATATAATCTGTTTGTATTGAATTGTATGTCAACATGGATGCCAGTGTTTAATTCTATGTTGCTTAACATATTTATTTATTTATTTTCTATCTTTATTATGTTTATAAATAATTCAAGGCAGCAAATATACTAAAGGAGTTGTGGCGGTGCAATGGTTAGAATGCAGTATTGTAGATTAACTCTGCTCACCGCTGGGAGTTCAATCCTGTCTGGCTCAAGACTCCATTTTTTAAGGCTGATCAAGTTGTCAGCATTGCCTCCAGATTGTTGGGGCCAATGGTGATGTAAACTGCTCAGAGAATTCTGTAAAGCACCATGGAGTGATATATAAGTTTAAGTGCTATTGCTATTGCTAATACACTTTCAATTTTCCCAACAACAACAATCCCGTGAGGTTATTTAGCCTGAGAGAAAGTGACTGGCCCAAAGTGACCCAGCTGGTTTTCATGCTATAAGGCAGGACTAGAAAACACAGTCTCTTGCTTTTTAGCCAGGTATCTTAACCACTAAACCAAGCTGGCTCTCTAGCCTTTTTGTGGAACTTCCTAGCTACATGCAAAGCCACAACTCTTTTTACTACTATCAGAGCAAGTCTTACCCAAAAATGCAAGCAGAATATGAATAGCAGAAGAGAAATGTGAAAGCGCTAGCTTTGGATGATTTGTATTACTATTATTGTATTGATCTGAAATGCTTCAGGAAAAAATGAACATAACCATCTGAAGTTTAATTTTTAGCAAACATAAAGCTTTTCAAAATAATATTAATAACCTATCCACCCCATCCCATGTTTTTTGTTTATTTCTAACAAAAGCAAAAGAAAAGAAAAGAAAAGAAAGAAGACTTTTTTTGTGTTTTGTGGTTAAGGATAGATTTGCAGAAAACTTTTTACAATGCACACAAAAATTTGATGAAATTCTGTTCTCTATTAGATAACTATCTTAATTCAGAACAAGCCTCAAAATTAAAAATTAAATGAAACTTAAAGAAAAGAAAGGCTCAAAACAAAATTATTTTCTAAAAAACAGACTGCAGGTGCCTGCTGGATATTGCACAGTTATATCTATTCCCCGCCTCCCCCAAAGCCATAAAATTATCAAAATGTATCTATGCTCAAAGGGAGAAATTGAATCCATTTCAAAATTTTCTAATCAGTTTTGGCATTTAATGGATACATTTTGAAGCATCATTGCTGCAGGTAGCATGGCAGAGTGTAATAATTGTTGCAGATTCATTGTGGTTTAAATCTCTTCAGACTGGTTAAATAAACAGGGTAGAGTATTGGCACAAATACACTGCCATGTTAACCACTTTTAAAATCCCATGGACAAATAGAACTTTTGAGGCATGTTTTCATATCTGTCAGAAAGATGTAAAAACAGCCATGGTAATACCTCTTTTTTCCTTACCTATTTTGTTAATTAATAGTCAGACTTTTAATATTTCAGGAAAAATTCTTCAATTTGCTTCCTTTCTCCCCACCAGAGCCAGTTCAAAAACCATTACAAATTTATAGCACAATGGTTTATAATACACTGAACAGGCACTCTTTCAAACAGTTGGCTTTCTTCCCCCCCCCCTTTTTTTTTCAAAGTTGGCTTTCCAACATGATGGCCTATTCATGTTTTGCTCCTGCCAGTTCCATGGGATTGGATGCTTGGTTTTAAATGTGATAGTTTAATACACATTTCTATCCATATATACATATGTCATGTATACATATATGAGCATACATATGTATATGTATACATTCAGACCCACATATATGTACTGGCATTGTCAATTGCAAAAAGCAAGCCAAAAAGAAGACTGACCTGGCTTACCTACACTCTGCTCGCATTCAATGAAATCTTCATCATCGTTAGAACACTCTGCTGAAGAAACAAGGTCATCTGTTGTCTGATGTGAATAAGAATGAAAGAAAAAAAATGGATACAAAGATCAAATGAAGGGAATCATGTTCAAAAGAACAGCAGCCTTTGAGCCATGGCTTAGAAATTTCTATGACAATATTTTTCTTATTCTTTAGACCGTTGACATTACTTTTCTTTTTGTATATTTATGGAGATTCTCAATCATCCAGGTCATGGTTGTCCCAAAGGTGCTTTTCTAAAAGGCAACTGGACTTTCTTGTTTTTTTCCTTGAAACCAAGAAAAATCTTCTAGGATAAGAAGCAAAACATTTTCAAAGGAAAAAACACAAGCAAGTTCAATTGCCTTTTGGAAAAGCACCTTTGGGACTTTTTGTATATTCTATTTCTAGCCCAAGATTCTATTAAATTACTGTAATGTGACTCATTGTTTTCCATATTATGTTACAATGGTTCTAAGGTACTTCTAGAATACTCAACATATTTCCCATATGTAAGAACAAACAAAGTTGCCATAAACTCTGGTCACTGGTTTATTTTGCTCAGTATTAGCTAGACAACTCTCCATATCTGGAAATACCAAAGACAAAGTGGTTATTATACAGTATATGTAGCAGGGAGTTTAGTTCTGAGTTTTGACCCTTGTTTTGAAAAACATAATGATAAGTTAGTAAAACATACTCTTACCCAACAGTAGAGACTATCAGCAAGTTCTAGAGAACTTTCTATAGTACCATTAAAAAAAGGTTACCTAATTTTGTATAATTTCCCCAGTTAGTTAACTGGACAAATTAAAATATAATAAACAAACAAATGAATAAATAAAATGGCATAGATGCATAACTAAAACATCATCTTCATCATCCTCAACTATTTCTGGGTACAATATTTTTTAAAAAACATACTTCATAAGATAGTTATGCATATAATCCATACATGATATGATTGCATTTATACAGAGAAAAATATTTCTAAAAATAATATGGACTGCGTAATCCAACTGTAGTATGGTTTGGTGAGTAAAAACATACTACTATCAAATGAGGTCTATTTTATTACAGATATCCACAAAAAAAATCAAAGTAGTTGTCTTCCTTATGACACTGGAATGTATGGTAAAGCATAGCAGATGTGCTATAGTCTCTGAAAAACTGAGATCACACCAAGAGTGTTTCTGGTGTTAGCAAATCAGAGCACATGTTCCATGAACTTTTCAGCTAGTAATTCTGAGTATGCGAGTGGCTGTGATTGTTCTAATTAAAGAGCAGCATGTACTGCAGTGTGTTAAGAAGTATAATGGCTTCTCTTCCCAGTAGTAAGTCCTTCATGTAATTGCTCCAATTAGTAGAATTACTAATGGAGACCAATAGGAGGATTTTGTAGAAGCCTCTGGACCCAGGCATATTGTTTGTGTGCAAGAGTATGAAAGTATCCAGCTCTTGGCAATATGATCTCAACAAACACCTGGTTCTGCTATTCCCCACTCTTTGCTATTTCAGGTCTATAAACAGAATATAAAAGGTACAGATCACCCAGTGTTGTAGGGCCTATGTAATCAGAATTCCTTTTAGATACATAGTAGAGAATCAGTCTCATTGTGGCTGCCTGAAGCTGTTTTTTACCCAACAATTTACAGACACTCCTAATGGCGATCTCGGATTTGGAATTCAATATGCAAGCAAATCTGCCTTCTCTCACCTGCACCACTGTGTCCCTCGTACTTTTCCAGATGGGATGACAAAAGAGAAGAAAAGTCTTACTGCTTTCATTCTCTTCCTGAATTGTGCTTTAAAAATCTGGTTATGATATTCTTTTACTCAATTAAATTACAACTTATGCAATGACTGGGGAAGACAAAAGCCTGAATTTCAGAACCAGCATTCTTCTGCTTTGGTCATGAAGAGGCTGACACATGTAGTTCATTAACCTCTGGAGAGATAGAAATAAAGGTAATTTTGTGTCTATTGTAAGCATTATCCTCTCTTTCTCTGGACAATATTATATATTTAAACATCTCAGTGGAGATAATTGCACCTGCAATTATTTCCACTCTTTCTTCCCACTGTTAAACTACTAAAACAAAACAAATCTCTTTTTTTCTGTAAATAGTACCTCAGTGGCCAATGAAAAAAATTAGGTAGAAATCCACATTTCTGTGGGATTTCCTTAATAATCTCAAATTTGCATTGGCAATTAAAACAGGAGTATTGTTCTCCCTGCCTCTTAGCCCTCTTGAGACTTTCTTGAAACTGAATTGAGATTTGAATGGGATGGACTAACATCATCTCGTCTCATTGATGGAGTTCACATTTTGAATACTAAAGATAGCAAACTTGAGTCTCCAGGACTGTCAATGAAACCTGAAGAGATTCTTACAGTAGTACTTTAAGAGGTACTGAACATCAGTATGGACAAAACCGAGTAAGATTCGTCCTTTTCAGTATAAGCCTCAAATAATAGACAGAGGTCTAAAATTTGATTTTAATAACTAATGGAACTAATGGAAAACCTAATGTGCTAACTATGGAAATAATAATCAAGGGTCTTATACAAAAGTAAGCAATACTTTTACTTGCAAAAAAGAGAAAAAAACAGAATGTGTTAAGCTTGTTTATCTTTTTCGAGAAAATATTTCACAATAACCTATTTTGAAATATGTATTTTATTCTTTTGAAGAAACATTTTGCAAAAGATTTTTTTATTATAAATTAATTGTAATTTGTACAATTACAGCCAGTTTATATATTATAGCTTGTAATTTATACAATTAACTATCAATTTTAAATATTACATTATTGTTGTTACTACTTATTTGATGTATTGAAAAAGTGGTTGATATCAAGTAGGAATACTTTGTCTGTAATCTTCAGGACTTATGAGAGGTTTACCATCAAATTCCCTCAGTTCACTTCACAGAACTGACTCTAATGAATGACTGTTTCTATAATCACCAATTTCTAATTATTTGCTTCTACAATATTTTTGGTCCCCTTTGATGAGGATTCTATATCTGTATCCATTGTTATGTAGTGAATTTTGAGAGAGAATTCCAGCTACTATGGAAAAAATTCAATCAGGGCCATTATATACCTTTTTCTGACAGACCAAAATAAAAATTTATGCTGCAGATTTATACCCTTTGACCTACTGTTCCAAATAAAATGGCTCTGTCTATAAAATATTCCATAGGTATCAATCCCATTTAGACTATGACTATTCCATTCATCTACTATGTGATGATTTTATGGGTATTAAGCACCAGATAAAATAAACCCTGTCATGGAACAGTTTTCTGAAACTATAAACAACATATCCAGTGAATGATGTGTTCTTATTCTTAGGATAGATGAAAAGCAAAAGGCCTATAAATATCTGCTTCTCAAATCTACCAGATAAATTGTGTCACAATATGTTCTTGATGAATGACTTCCATTTTAAATTCTGGTTTATTTAGCTTTAGCTATATGAAAAACTGTTTCCCAAAAGCATTATATACTTCTTAATCTTCATTAGAAATCAGTATCAAAGTTGTCTTTTCAGTGGTCAGTTAGGATAAATATAGTATAGATTTCAGTTCTCCTTCTATTAATAAATTATATATTACATTTAACTTAGAAGTTGGACTACAAATAGTTGCAGAAGAAAGAAATGTTTTGGAACATGATCTCAATTATCAATTATTAAGAGGAAACGTTCTGCCTAAAGACAAAGGCCGAATTTAAGCCATAAGTTTTAAACTTAGCACATCCAGATCTGGATTTAATTGTTCATTTTCCCTCTGCCCTTCACCTCCAAATAAATTATATCAGTTAATATATTACTAAATTTTTTGCTTTGAGCAAAATTTAATACAAATTGGATAATGGGCAACAATTTTTCTGGAATCATAGGAAAATTATTTTAGTTTCTTTGACAATTTCTCAATTGTTTTATGACACTCCAAAATGTGCTTGGTGCCAAGTAACATTTGGTAACAATATTATTTTAGTTTAATGCTACATCTTAATTTTTAATTTCATTGCTGATTTAAAGTCTTCTCTCTGTCTCTTCCAGCTCTCCTGTAAAAGAAGGGACTTAATTATTTGCTATAAAATTTTGCTTAAACTGAACAATTAGAAATATATTCTCTCAACAGATATGATTTTTGGAGGGAGAAAGAATGAACAGTAAAATCCATTTGTGCACACAAGTTTACATTATTATTATTGTATACACAAAAATATGAAATCACAGCTGCAAATTCTTTAGCTGTTGGCTTTTTATGCACTGAGTTCTTTCCAAGAACCTAGAATATCGTAATGTATCAGTGTAGTTTATGTGTGGAATCAAGCAGTGTGGCTTTTTGTAATTGACAGAAATTTTGTCAATCTGCAGATTTTCTAAGTGCATCCAACATTTTTTGGTATGACACCTAGTGGGCTGATAACCACTGGCACCAATTTAATTGCCAATTTAAGCCATACTCATTCAGTTTTGATTTTCAGATCTTGATGCTTTGTGAATCTTCTGCAATTCTTTGTCTTCTATTCTACTATCTCTTGGTATTGCCACGTCAATTATCCTCACTTTCTTCTTTTCAGCCCCAAATAAATCTGTTGTGTTATGAGCCAAAATTTTATCAGTATGTATTCAGAAATCCTGCCATATTTTAACCTGCTAATTTTCAACTACTTTTTCAACTCTATGTACCCATCAATTTTTCATTACTTCACTGATAATTTTTACAGATGTTTCAATGAACCATTTTGGTAATTGTAATTAATATGTTATTGTTTATAATCAATTTATGTGATCTTTTTGCCCAAACTGAGTATATGTTCTACTATTTTCATCTGCCTTTTTGCACAATCTGCACTTTGAATCATTGATGATGTATTTTTTCAGTTCTGGCCTTGATTGCATTTGGCTCTTAAGCAGCCAAATTGGTTTCTTTTTTTAAAGTCCCAGTTGTAAGCCATTGTCAAGTTTTATCTTTGCCTTCAGTTTTTTTGTAGAAATTATCCATGTAAGGCTTTTTCTTGGCAGCAT